GGATAAAAGGATAGAAGAAGAAAAAGAAGATACAATGGAGGTAGATAAAATAGAGGTATATTTAAATTAAAAAAAATTAAAAAAATTATTGTAATAGAAATAAAGTTGAAATTTATGTCGTTTATAATTATAATTATAATTATGTATATAATATTGTTTATTGTTTATTGCTTTTTAGATACAAACAGTATTTAATAATATAAAAAATCAGGCAGAATGTTTTGAAATTGATTCAGATATTAATCTTAGCGACGAAGATGAAAAAAGAAATATGATTCCGAAAACCAAAAAAGATGAACGATCGACAAGAGGTCGAGGTTCACGAGGAGGTAGTTGTAGAAGAAATAAAACAAAAGAATTTACAGCAAAGAAAATTTCATCAAAAATTGATGAAATTGAAAAAAGGAAGACAAAAAAACAGGTAAATTATAATAATTTGTTAAAATCAAAAAAAAATTTTTTATAAATCATTAATAATTATTCTATTATTACTTTTACTATATTTTTACAACTACAGGATCAAAATATATTAGAAAATTATATGGAATCTAAAAAAAATAAAACTAAAATATAATTGTTATAAAAGAAATAAAGGAGATTTTTTTTAAAACATAAATTATTATTAAAAGTTCTTTCTTCGAAAATTATATTATATTTTGTATTAAAATAAATTAAGTTTTTGCATTTATTTAATGTTTATAACAATTATTGCTCCCTTCAAAAAAGATATATTTTTATTAAATTTTATTTTATTTTATTTATACGCATGTAGTGATTTATATTTCGATTTTCGATACTATCGATTCGATTATTATACACCGGAAGTCACCTTCTTTTAGACTGCTGCGTCGGTCGCGTTATATCAAGGAATTACGGTAAGTTTGATTTAGAACTATTTTGTAAAAAAAATTGTCATTCTTTAAAAAATAAGGTATTAAATAAGTGAAATAAATATATTTAAATAATTTGTATTTATATTATTGATTTATTATTCATTAAATGCTAAGATGCTGTTGGCTTAATTTTATGTCATGAGATTTTTATACACAGCTTGAATCTCTGTCAAGAAACATAACCTTAAAATTAAAATTGTTTAGACCAGTAATAATTCTGAAATCTCATTTAACTTTAAAATCTAAAATTTACAACTATTTATAACTATTTTTATTTATATTTATAACAAATATATATGTTTATTAAAAGAATAAAAAAATATTTGGTGTAGAAATGCCGCCGAAAAGAGGAAAGGTACAAAAAGAAGAGGTTCAAGTATCTCTCGGACCTCAATTGCGTGAAGGAGAAGTTGTTTTTGGTGTTGCTCATATTTTTGCAAGTTTTAATGATACATTCGTTCATGTAACAGATCTTTCTGGAAGGTATATTGAAATTTTAAATAAATTATTGTTTTTTTTTCAAAAATTAATATAACTATTTCTTATAGAGAAACCATTGCGCGAGTTACGGGTGGAATGAAAGTCAAAGCAGATCGTGATGAAGCTTCTCCATATGCTGCTATGCTTGCTGCTCAGGTAAAATTATAATATATATCAATTATCCACATTCAGGCAGCTTCTAAGTAACATTATTTAATATTAGGAGCGTTCATGTATGTGGTAAAATAAATTTTTTCTTGTTAACTAGAAGTGTATCTGCATGAATCATTTCTATATCTAGAAGAATACAGTTTATATTTTATAATACAACTAAAACTATATGTTTAGTTACATATATAATAAAATTTAATATTTTAAAAATAATATTTTTATTTTTAATAGGATGTAGCAGAGAAATGTAAATCTCTTGGAATTACAGCACTTCATATTAAATTGAGGGCAACAGGAGGTAACAAAACAAAAACTCCTGGTCCAGGTGCACAATCTGCTTTACGTGCACTTGCACGTTCTAGTATGAAAATTGGTCGAATTGAAGATGTCACACCAATTCCATCTGATTCTACTCGTAGAAAGGGTGGTCGTCGTGGTCGGAGATTATAAATTATATTTCTATGTATGCTTTATTAACTTTCAAAAATAAAAATTTAAAAAATAAATATGGCATATTTATATATATATATATAAATAGTAAAGAAATTTTACATAATGAATAGATAATTTAATATTAAATAATAATAAATCAGTACAAAATATAATACACTTATAATATTTATTATTCATTTTTATATTTTGAAAAGTTTATATGCTAATTATATATAGTAAACTTTTTCTTAAATTCAATATTAGGAAAATTATGCATTTATTAATGACTTTTCATTATAAAATTAATATTTAAATAATAAATGATATATATTAAATACATGTGTGTAGCCTGAGAATGCATATTAGTTACTAAAGTTAATTGAACTCATTTTTATAATATTTATAAATATTAGTGTTCATATGATATAAGCATTAAGCACTTCCAACAATATTGCCTATAGTAAGATAAAGTTTAACTTTAAGATCTAATTTTTGAGGCGCTTTATGTTCTAATGTAGTAATAGTATTCACATATCCATACTGCATAACAAAGCCAATTATAACTGGTTGATTATCACCTTCTTGTATATTTTCATGTGGTATTACATGTAATTTTATTACAGCTTTATTACCTTTTCGCCAAATTACAAGCCTTCAAAAAAAATAAATTAGATTCTTATTATTAAATATTCCAAATTATAAAAACAAAAATTCATACTTAGGATCATCTTGAAAATTATGAGTATCACCAGTATCATCATATTCAGCAGCATCATCTCTAGGAGGCAAAATAAGAGCGCTGTGAGGAAGAATTATATCTGCATTTGCATTAATTTTAATAGATTTTGTTTCCTCTACTACAGGCACTTGTCGCACGATAGAAGGTAATAAATTTGGAGATTCAGATCCCTGGAATTATTGTAATATTAAAAAATAATATAATTTAGAAAATATTAAATATTTACCTGTTGTGTATTTTCTTGCTTAAGTTCTTCTTTTTCATCAACAGCTGTTAAAATAGGTGTCAATGGTGTATCCAATGATAAAAGTATTATCTGAGTTTGATGTTGAGTTGGATTGCAAAACTTTAAAAGCAATTCACTTGATTTACCTGGACGAAGTGGTTCACAAGTAACAATCCTTACTTCTGGTACATGATAACTATAATAAAAATATACATAAATTAATATTAAAGACAAAAATTTATAAAATATAAACTTACAATGCAGCTAATTGTATTTTAAATTTTGCAGAGTGTGTACAAAAATCTGGTTTACAGAGATTATGTTCGCAAACTCGGCATCGTTGTGATCTTCTAACTAACAATTGTCTATGTTGAGGACGTAATTCATTTACATTTTCTGCTTGTATGTCCGGATGTTGTAATCGTTGTTCCAATGTAGTAACTAATATTTGAAAATTGATATTCTCTTTTTATTTCTTAAAATAACAAAAAATATTTTGATAAAAATAAATACTACCTACTCTTGGTTATTTCTATTGGTTCTGTAAAAATATCTATTGGTAATTCCTCTACTTCTGTACTAGCAACAGCTGGAGATGGTTGGTCAGTTGATTCAGTAGCAGGTTTTGTAGGATGTCCAATACGTTTACGAACCATAGCAGATGTTATTCTAAACATAGCCTAAAATGACAATAAAAAAATTAAATCACATGATTAAAATAGGTTTCTTTCTAAATTAATTTTTAAATTTATTACAATTTGCATATAAGGACGCTTTGGTCGAAATTTCTTTTTCTCACATTGCTGTTTTTCTATAGAAGCTAATATTTTATGATAATCAATTAAAGTATTAATCCGGTTTGTATGAGGATTTTCTTGTTCAGGCCAACCTCCTGTAGCTAATTAACATATATTATTTTAATATTAAAACATATTTTAATATATTTTATTTATATATATATATATAAGATATAAAAATATTGTAAATTATAATATTTTGAATAAACATACCTACAGATTGATCTGGTATACCAGCATCTCTAGATGTCCATCGACATAGTGAACAAAATAAATAATAAACTTTTTTAGGTGTTGTTTTTATATCTTTAGAATCTTCTCCTTCAATTGGTATTACTCTTAAAGGTACATGTCCAGCTCTTGTAGATAATGTTTGAAAGCAACACGGACATTTGAAACAATTTGAACATCTATTTAAAAAAAAGTAAGACATTATAAGTTAATAAAATAATTATATATTTAAAACTTCACATTTATTTAAAACTTACTTGTTTTTTTTAAGACGAACTTCTGATGACGGTAAATTTTCCATACAGTTAGGACAATAATGTGAATCAACCTATTAATTAAAATAAAAATCTTTTTTTACATATAAAATTTATATAAATTTTTATAGTTTTATTTCATAAATAAATAATTAAATAAAATAAATAAATAAAATAATTTGACACTCATTATATGTATATTTAATAAAATAAATTATACCTCTTGACAGACACAATATCCGCAACGAATTTTGGAGCAGTGCCTACAGAAATAAATCTTTGAAATTGGTTTTAAAGAACCACAATTACACACATAATGTACACAATCGGGTTGATTTAAATATGACATGACTGAATATATATTTATTACTATTTAGAAAAAGAAAATTACATTTCACTTTGTCATAAAGCGATACATTTCTCAATCTAAACTATAACTTTTCTTTAAGCCATCTTTAATACACGTATAGTATTATAGTAAGTACAGTAAACTTTTCAGTTAAAATAAAAAATCCCTATATTATAGATTAAATTTTAAATGGTTTTTTTTAGACTTATTTTAAACTTATTATATTATATATTATAAATATTTCTTGTCTTATAAATAATAAATATTTGAAAATATATAATATAAAATGTACATATTATTTTGTAAACATAAAATGAATTATACAATTCTGATAAATAGTAATAGTATAGTTTTTTTATTTTTATACTATTAGCATTAAACATGGAATATAAATGATACATACTATATATATATATATATATATATATGTAATATCTTCTGTCTAATGTGTAATTAAAATCGTAGACAGTGATTTATTATAATATTTATATTAATACTATTTTATCTACATTAATACTATTTTATTCACATTAATGCTATTTTATCATATATATATTTTAGATTTCTTTCTATATTTTTATATATAATTATATTGAATAATGTATTCACGAAAATTATTAAAAAGTAATAAAATTTTTAATTTTAAATCTAATTATATATTAAAAAAATATTTAAGTGAAGTTATTGATTCTCATATTAATTATCGGGAAACTCAATTTGAACCTCTTCCAAAAAAAAAACCGCAAAGAATATCTTTTTTAACAGCTCTACTTACAAAAAATGTTAATAGTGAAGTTTTCACTTATCCAGAACAAATATCTCTTAGATATAATGATTTTTTTAAATGGTTAAAACCAATTGAAATTTATATGTCAAGTTGTGTTAATAAAAAATTAGATAAAAATCAGATATTAAATCAACTTAGAGAACTTGAAGTATTTCGAACACATATTAGTGAAGAATATTTTGGTTTAACTTTATCAAACTCAGAATCATTGAAATTAATAGAAACACTAAGTACTTTACCTTGGTTAGGTACATATATAGTAAAAAATCATATTTCACCACTTCAAATAATTTCTAAATATGGATCAGAAAGTCAAAAAATTAAATATTATCCAAAAATTATGAGTGGTGAAATGATTCCTACAATATGTGTATATGAAGGTGATCATAGAGCAAATATCAATAGCATTCAAACTCTTGCTATACAAGATAAAGAAAATTCATGGTTATTAAGTGGTGAAAAACATTATGTTGTTAATGGAGTAGATTCTAATCTATTCTTAGTTTTTGCAAAACATGTATCTTCAAATATAACTGGAACAGATTCATTTTCTTTATTTCTAATTGAACATGATTTTGGAAATATAAATTGTACAAATGTATATGAAACAATTGGCAGATGTGAAATACCTACTTGTACAGTTAATTTTAATGATACAATTGTACCTAGTGAAAATATCATTGGTACACTAGGTGATGGATTTAAAATATTAATGGAATATTTAAAGCCTGGACGGCAAAATATATCTGCTCAAGCAATCAGTATTTTAAGAAACTTTATAAATACATTAATACCTGATATTTTACAAATGAGGCATTATGATAGAGATTTATATCAATTTGATGTTGTGAAAAAAACTTTAAGTGAAATAATATTTTCTTTGTATACTATGGAAAGTATGACATATCTTACAAGTGGAATGATAGATGAATATGAAATTATAGATGCTGATTTAGAGCATATTCTTACTGAAACATATTGTGCAAATAAGTGTTTAAAATGTATTCAAACAGGACTGCAATTAATTGGTGCTCAAAGTTATATGAATAATAAATCATATATACAAGCATTTCATGATGCTATGGCTCTAACAACAATGGATATAAATAATTTAGATGCCAGTACATATGCAGCAGGACGTATTGTACAAAATATTGGACAGACAATGGCTGATCATATATTTAAAAAAAGAAATATTTTTCAATTTCCTTTTTATAATATGCTAAATTCAATATTTGAAAGTAATTCAAAATTAAATGCTGATAAATATCTTCATCCATCATTAGCTTATGCTAGTAGATATATGGAAGATTGTATAGATAGATTGAAAAACAGTATTTTAATATTACTGGAACGTAGTGGATCACAGTCTGTAGAACAATATATAGATTTAGAAAGATTAACTGAAATGTTAACAGAAATATATGGAACATTTGCTAACTTATCACGTTCTTCAAAATCATATTGCAATGGTAATCAAAATGCAGATCTTGAAAAAGAAGTAGCACTTAAAATGACATTTGTAACACATTCTAAAATATGTGAAATTTCAAAAATTATAGAAAATGGTCCATTATTTAATGGTGATCAGTGTTACATAAGTGCAATGGACCTTATGTATGAAAAACGTGAATATTCTATGATACATCCTTTGATTAAAATATTTTAAATATTTAATATAGTTTTTATAATAATTTAATTTTTGTTTTTAATATACACTGTAAAAAATAATGTTAAAATGATAAATAAAGAATAAAACAAACACTTTTTTAATGATTATATATTTATATGTAAGTAGTAGTATATAATATTTCTTCTTATACTAGTATACATTAAATTTAAAAGCAAAATAAGATCTCTTTTTCATAATTATCCTAACATAACATTTTAAAGAGGTATTTTCAATGAATCTTATATTATAGGAATTAGAGATTTATTTTTATACACCAGTACTATGAATTCTAAAGTATACGCAAAAGGTGGACGGTATTCTTCTAAAAAAAAATTCAACTATAGTTTTTCTAAAATTGGAAGTTTGGAATTCTATTAAATTTATTTTTAATTGTAATATCACTATAATTTTTCTGCTTGAACAATAACATGCTCTTCCCTGTATAGATCCATTGGAGACCAACAACTTCTTATACAAGTATATATTAAAACAGTTCCAAATTCAATTTGAAAATTTTTTTCAACTCGCGGTTGAAGTATTAATTTGGAAATCAATGTAGGCAAAATTTGAACTTCAAATGTCATTTCACCTCCGCAATGTCTACATTTCCCAACACATCCACTAATAGGATATAATAATAATGGTGCAGAATTATCTCGGGAATATCTAAAGAATAATATAATATATATATACATAAAATTTGATAATAATATAGTATTTAATTAATATTTACATATATATTTTTACCGTAAAAGTTGACCAGGATTCTTCTGTATTTGAGTGATGAAATTATGAAACATTTCATCTCCATGCATTGGAATGCCTTTTTCATATTTTTCTGAATCTGTTTCTATAGTTTTACCTTCATCTATATCTGCTCCAGATTTTGATGATAAGTCTGGATTTCTATATTGATATTCCAAGAGTAAATCACATACATGTTGTGGCACATCTAGATTATAATCTTCTTCTTCGACGGAAAGAAATATTTCAACAAACGATAATTTTGTATCAATATTTGATTCTATTTGAATAGGAAATGGAGTTACTTCTCGCAATAAACTAATTAAATCACATTGAGGCTGGATTGGAGTATCAATACAAACAACTTCACTTTCTTCACCATCAATTTCAGCTGATGCTTGAGGAGAATCTAATCTACCAACAGCACCTACACCAACTGGAGATTCTATACTTGCTGGGCTAAAATAAATTAGATATAATAAATAAATACATTTTTATAAATATTAATATTTTTTAGCAATTTTTTATATACCTGTTTGCATTAGGATCATCAACATGTAATGCAGAAAATTCTTCTTTTATATTTTCATCTGCATCTTTTTGCAAAGAAAAATGAAAATCTGTCATATTATTTGGTAGTACATTATTTCCATTTTGTTCAGAATTATCATTCAAATTATCACCCCAATCATCTGCATCTGACAACCATGATGTTGTAGATGGTACTACTATGCTACTACTATCTAAAGCATTTGGTTTACATTCATCTTCTGATACTTGAACTCTCAAACAAGTCCAACTTTCATTTTGATTCCAACAATTTGGATTTATACAAGTAAAAATATAAAGTGTTCGATGATATTTAGAATTATCTAATGGAACATATAATTGAAGAGCCAAAAGTTGATACAATCTGCATAATCTACATTGTGGTAATGAT